TGGAAGGAGGAGATTGAGGAGATTGACACACCTTCCCCTTTCCCCCTTCCACACCCTCTCCCCTGTTACTAAACACCCAGATACGAGAAGGACATGCTGGCATTCACAGGGTGCGACCGCGGTGGAAGGAGGAGATTGAGGAGATTGACACACCTTCCCCTTTCCCCCTTCCACACCCTCTCCCCTGTTACTAAACACCCAGATACGAGAAGGACATGCTGGCATTCACAGGGTGCGACCGCGGTGGAAGGAGGAGATTGAGGAGATTGACACACCTTCCCCTTTCCCCCTTCCACACCCTCTCCCCTGTTACTAAACACCCAGATACGAGAAGGACATGCTGGCATTCACAGGGTGCGACCGCGGTGGAAGGAGGAGATTGAGGAGATTGACACACCTTCCCCTTTCCCCCTTCCACACCCTCTCCCCTGTTACTAAACACCCAGATACGAGAAGGACATGCTGGCATTCACAGGGTGCGACCGCGGTGGAAGGAGGAGATTGAGGAGATTGACACACCTTCCCCTTTCCCCCTTCCACACCCTCTCCCCTGTTACTAAACACCCAGATACGAGAAGGACATGCTGGCATTCACAGGGTGCGACCGCGGTGGAAGGAGGAGATTGAGGAGATTGACACACCTTCCCCTTTCCCCCTTCCACACCCTCTCCCCTGTTACTAAACACCCAGATACGAGAAGGACATGCTGGCATTCACAGGGTGCGACCGCGGTGGAAGGAGGAGATTGAGGAGATTGACACACCTTCCCCTTTCCCCCTTCCACACCCTCTCCCCTGTTACTAAACACCCAGATACGAGAAGGACATGCTGGCATTCACAGGGTGCGACCGCGGTGGAAGGAGGAGATTGAGGAGATTGACACACCTTCCCCTTTCCCCCTTCCACACCCTCTCCCCTGTTACTAAACACCCAGATACGAGAAGGACATGCTGGCATTCACAGGGTGCGACCGCGGTGGAAGGAGGAGATTGAGGAGATTGACACACCTTCCCCTTTCCCCCTTCCACACCCTCTCCCCTGTTACTAAACACCCAGATACGAGAAGGACATGCTGGCATTCACAGGGTGCGACCGCGGTGGAAGGAGGAGATTGAGGAGATTGACACACCTTCCCCTTTCCCCCTTCCACACCCTCTCCCCTGTTACTAAACACCCAGATACGAGAAGGACATGCTGGCATTCACAGGGTGCGACCGCGGTGGAAGGAGGAGATTGAGGAGATTGACACACCTTCCCCTTTCCCCCTTCCACACCCTCTCCCCTGTTACTAAACACCCAGATACGAGAAGGACATGCTGGCATTCACAGGGTGCGACCGCGGTGGAAGGAGGAGATTGAGGAGATTGACACACCTTCCCCTTTCCCCCTTCCACACCCTCTCCCCTGTTACTAAACACCCAGATACGAGAAGGACATGCTGGCATTCACAGGGTGCGACCGCGGTGGAAGGAGGAGATTGAGGAGATTGACACACCTTCCCCTTTCCCCCTTCCACACCCTCTCCCCTGTTACTAAACACCCAGATACGAGAAGGACATGCTGGCATTCACAGGGTGCGACCGCGGTGGAAGGAGGAGATTGAGGAGATTGACACACCTTCCCCTTTCCCCCTTCCACACCCTCTCCCCTGTTACTAAACACCCAGATACGAGAAGGACATGCTGGCATTCACAGGGTGCGACCGCGGTGGAAGGAGGAGATTGAGGAGATTGACACACCTTCCCCTTTCCCCCTTCCACACCCTCTCCCCTGTTACTAAACACCCAGATACGAGAAGGACATGCTGGCATTCACAGGGTGCGACCGCGGTGGAAGGAGGAGATTGAGGAGATTGACACACCTTCCCCTTTCCCCCTTCCACACCCTCTCCCCTGTTACTAAACACCCAGATACGAGAAGGACATGCTGGCATTCACAGGGTGCGACCGCGGTGGAAGGAGGAGATTGAGGAGATTGACACACCTTCCCCTTTCCCCCTTCCACACCCTCTCCCCTGTTACTAAACACCCAGATACGAGAAGGACATGCTGGCATTCACAGGGTGCGACCGCGGTGGAAGGAGGAGATTGAGGAGATTGACACACCTTCCCCTTTCCCCCTTCCACACCCTCTCCCCTGTTACTAAACACCCAGATACGAGAAGGACATGCTGGCATTCACAGGGTGCGACCGCGGTGGAAGGAGGAGATTGAGGAGATTGACACACCTTCCCCTTTCCCCCTTCCACACCCTCTCCCCTGTTACTAAACACCCAGATACGAGAAGGACATGCTGGCATTCACAGGGTGCGACCGCGGTGGAAGGAGGAGATTGAGGAGATTGACACACCTTCCCCTTTCCCCCTTCCACACCCTCTCCCCTGTTACTAAACACCCAGATACGAGAAGGACATGCTGGCATTCACAGGGTGCGACCGCGGTGGAAGGAGGAGATTGAGGAGATTGACACACCTTCCCCTTTCCCCCTTCCACACCCTCTCCCCTGTTACTAAACACCCAGATACGAGAAGGACATGCTGGCATTCACAGGGTGCGACCGCGGTGGAAGGAGGAGATTGAGGAGATTGACACACCTTCCCCTTTCCCCCTTCCACACCCTCTCCCCTGTTACTAAACACCCAGATACGAGAAGGACATGCTGGCATTCACAGGGTGCGACCGCGGTGGAAGGAGGAGATTGAGGAGATTGACACACCTTCCCCTTTCCCCCTTCCACACCCTCTCCCCTGTTACTAAACACCCAGATACGAGAAGGACATGCTGGCATTCACAGGGTGCGACCGCGGTGGAAGGAGGAGATTGAGGAGATTGACACACCTTCCCCTTTCCCCCTTCCACACCCTCTCCCCTGTTACTAAACACCCAGATACGAGAAGGACATGCTGGCATTCACAGGGTGCGACCGCGGTGGAAGGAGGAGATTGAGGAGATTGACACACCTTCCCCTTTCCCCCTTCCACACCCTCTCCCCTGTTACTAAACACCCAGATACGAGAAGGACATGCTGGCATTCACAGGGTGCGACCGCGGTGGAAGGAGGAGATTGAGGAGATTGACACACCTTCCCCTTTCCCCCTTCCACACCCTCTCCCCTGTTACTAAACACCCAGATACGAGAAGGACATGCTGGCATTCACAGGGTGCGACCGCGGTGGAAGGAGGAGATTGAGGAGATTGACACACCTTCCCCTTTCCCCCTTCCACACCCTCTCCCCTGTTACTAAACACCCAGATACGAGAAGGACATGCTGGCATTCACAGGGTGCGACCGCGGTGGAAGGAGGAGATTGAGGAGATTGACACACCTTCCCCTTTCCCCCTTCCACACCCTCTCCCCTGTTACTAAACACCCAGATACGAGAAGGACATGCTGGCATTCACAGGGTGCGACCGCGGTGGAAGGAGGAGATTGAGGAGATTGACACACCTTCCCCTTTCCCCCTTCCACACCCTCTCCCCTGTTACTAAACACCCAGATACGAGAAGGACATGCTGGCATTCACAGGGTGCGACCGCGGTGGAAGGAGGAGATTGAGGAGATTGACACACCTTCCCCTTTCCCCCTTCCACACCCTCTCCCCTGTTACTAAACACCCAGATACGAGAAGGACATGCTGGCATTCACAGGGTGCGACCGCGGTGGAAGGAGGAGATTGAGGAGATTGACACACCTTCCCCTTTCCCCCTTCCACACCCTCTCCCCTGTTACTAAACACCCAGATACGAGAAGGACATGCTGGCATTCACAGGGTGCGACCGCGGTGGAAGGAGGAGATTGAGGAGATTGACACACCTTCCCCTTTCCCCCTTCCACACCCTCTCCCCTGTTACTAAACACCCAGATACGAGAAGGACATGCTGGCATTCACAGGGTGCGACCGCGGTGGAAGGAGGAGATTGAGGAGATTGACACACCTTCCCCTTTCCCCCTTCCACACCCTCTCCCCTGTTACTAAACACCCAGATACGAGAAGGACATGCTGGCATTCACAGGGTGCGACCGCGGTGGAAGGAGGAGATTGAGGAGATTGACACACCTTCCCCTTTCCCCCTTCCACACCCTCTCCCCTGTTACTAAACACCCAGATACGAGAAGGACATGCTGGCATTCACAGGGTGCGACCGCGGTGGAAGGAGGAGATTGAGGAGATTGACACACCTTCCCCTTTCCCCCTTCCACACCCTCTCCCCTGTTACTAAACACCCAGATACGAGAAGGACATGCTGGCATTCACAGGGTGCGACCGCGGTGGAAGGAGGAGATTGAGGAGATTGACACACCTTCCCCTTTCCCCCTTCCACACCCTCTCCCCTGTTACTAAACACCCAGATACGAGAAGGACATGCTGGCATTCACAGGGTGCGACCGCGGTGGAAGGAGGAGATTGAGGAGATTGACACACCTTCCCCTTTCCCCCTTCCACACCCTCTCCCCTGTTACTAAACACCCAGATACGAGAAGGACATGCTGGCATTCACAGGGTGCGACCGCGGTGGAAGGAGGAGATTGAGGAGATTGACACACCTTCCCCTTTCCCCCTTCCACACCCTCTCCCCTGTTACTAAACACCCAGATACGAGAAGGACATGCTGGCATTCACAGGGTGCGACCACGGGCTACAAGCATCAGAGAGGGAGGAGCTAAAGGCCATGCGGCTCAACAACTCGCGGTGGAAGGAGAAGGCGAAACGGACCCACCTGCCCCTCTCCCGCTTCCACCCTCGCTGCCCCTACTTCCCCTTTCCCCTCTCCCTCCCGCTTCCCTGTCGCCACTCAGATACGAGAAAGACATGCTGGCATTCACAGGGTGCGACCACGGGCTACAAGCCTCAGAGAGGGAGGAGCTAAAGGCCATGCGGCTCAACAACTCGCGGTGGAAGGAGAAGGCGAAACGGACCCACCTGCCCCTCTCCCGCTTCCACCCTCGCTGCCCCTACTTCCCCTTTCCCCTCTCCCTCCCGCTTCCCTGTCGCCACTCAGATACGAGAAAGACATGCTGGCATTCACAGGGTGCGACCACGGGCTACAAGCCTCAGAGAGGGAGGAGCTAAAGGCCATGCGGCTCAACAACTCGCGGTGGAAGGAGAAGGAGATTGACGGGGAGGCGCGGAGAACAGAGGGAGCGTGTCCACTTACCCCGCGGGAGACGGCGCTTTTTCTGCGGGCCATGGGGTATCCGAATAAGACTCTCATCTACGTGGCTGCTGGAGACATCTACGGCTCTAATGGACTCGAGGTGAGTGAGAAGGAGAGAGGGGAAGGGGGGGGCTTTGAGTTGATAATATCCGAATAAAACGCTCATTTACGTGGCTGCTGGGGATATCTATGGGTCCAATGGGTTGGAGGTGAAGGAGAGGAAGAGAGGAGGGGAGCGGGAAGCTATGGCCACTGAATTTCCCCAACCCCAACCTGAACGTAGGTGCATAGCAGAACACAGGGAACCAGAACTGGTTGACAGCAGCATGACTGTCTTATGCCCAACATCCCCCATGCCTCCTGCCCCCACCACCAGGACCTGACTCGCCTGTACCCAAACACGTACACACACAGCACACTGGCAACGGCAGAGGAGCTGGCGAGTATAGGCGCGTACCAGAACTGGCTGGCAGCCATGTGACAGGCTAATCCAACATGTTCGTCCACACTCTGCTCCTGATTCCCTGCCCCCATCCCTACCACCATCACCACCAGGACTTGACTCGGCTGTACCCAAACACGTACACACACAGCACGCTGGCAACAGCTGAGGAGCTGGCGAGCTTAGGCGCGTACCAGAACCGGCTGGCAGCCGTGGACTACACTGTGGCAGTGCAGAGCGATGTGTTTGTGTACACATATGAGGGGAATATGGCTCGGGCCGTGCAGGGGCACCGGCGGTTTGAAGGACACAGGAAGACTGTCATCCCTAACAGGTGTGCGGTAGTTGTTGTGGTGTGCGGTAGTGTGCGGTGCAGAGGTGATTCACAAGTTAATGGCGGTGGCAGTGCGTGCAGAGTGATGTGTTTGTGTACGCGTATGAGGGGAATATGGCCCGGGCCGTGCAGGGTCATAGAAGGTTCGAGGGACATAGGAAGACCATCATCCCCAACAGGTGAGGAGAGTGCAGAGGAGAGCGGTGAATTGCAGTACCGAGCGGTGCAGAGGTGGTTCTCTTAAGTGAGTGGCAGTGGGGGTGCGGAGTGATGTGTTTGTGTACATGCATGAGGGCAACATGGCTCATGCCATGCAGGGGTACAGACGATTCGAGGGGCATAGGAAGACCATCATCTCCAACTGACTAGTAGTGTGCGCAGCAGTGTAAAAGAAAATCAGGAAGGTGAGCCCCCAATGGTTCACCAATCTCCCGCGCCTTCCTTGTCTTCCACTCGCATGTCTTGGTGTGTTGTGCTCACTTTGCAGGGAAGCCATCATTCGGCACATTGACCAGTTAAAATCGCGGCAAATTAGGTGGAAGGCGTTTAGGAGGCTCATCAGACAAGCGCACAAAGAAGGAATGGGTGCTCCTCATCTACGGGAGGTTGGTGAAAATCCAAAGCTGGAGGAGAATTTCTACGCAAATCCTTTTCCAGGGTGTATTTGCGAGGTGGAAAGGCAAGCGGACGGGGCTGTCCGCATGTGTAGGCGAGTCAGCGGTCAAAAGCGGTGTACCGAGATGCCGAAGAATGGCGAAGAGAGCAGATAGAAATTGGTGTAGTGTAGATTTTTCATTCTAATGTTTTTTTTTATCTCACTGATTGCTTGGAGATTTTCTTGTCCTCGCTCCTATATGAAATGTAAATGCTATAGCAAGGATGATGGTCACAGATCTATTGACCTTCAGGTGCGGCGACTAGGTGCTGGGAGGCCCTGGTCAGGTAAATTCGCGTTTCCCAGCCAAGCGGGAACACCATCGAGTTCGGCAGGAGTATTTGATTGGATGGTTGGCAATATCGTTGAGTTCGTGAGTCTTGGTGATTGGTTGAACGGAGTAAACGATGACTTGATATTTGTCAAACTCTCTGCTGCTGCATTCGCTGTTCTTCGCTAAACAAACCTCGACATCTCTCCCCAAGCAATGCTCACTGAGATCCACACAGCGCCCCGCCCGCCCAGCCCTTTTCCTCCCCAGTCTGCCACCGAGATCCAGCAGCCTTCTGCTGGCGTCTCCCCCTATTTTTCCGCGCCAAACCCCGAGCCTCCGCATAATGGCCTTCCCGCCAACCTCGTTTGCAGTTGCGGGCAAAAATTCCCCAGCCTCGATTTCGCAAATTCCGATTTTCCGAACCAATTTTCGCAGACCCCTATTCCCCCGGCCCTTTCAGTCGCAGACCCTCATTTCCCTGATTCACGTTCGCAACACTCGATCCCCGTGTCCCGACCTGGTTTCGCAGGATGACCCCGATTCCCCCACCGTCTATTCCCAAGAAGGGCCCAGATTTCTCCGGTTCCCAGACTTTCTCCAACTCTAGATTCCTCGGTTCCTCCGTTCCCCATTTCTCCAGTTTCTGACTCCCCCGCTTTCTTTGACTCCCAGATTCCTCAATATTATCCCACTGACAATGCCGAATGATTTCATCCATGGCTGAGAATTATTGGTGAGGCTGCTTGTGCTAGAGATTCTTGCCTCCTTCGAGCTGCACATGGCTGGGGGTTTCTTGCAGATGTCACAGATGTCTGCATAACCTTTGTTTCTCAAGTACACTCCTTGCGTGTCTGTTCCTCTCGGAGGAGTCGTTGCGTGCAAGTGTGAGCAGAGGAGTTCGGATTCAGCGAGTTGTCGGTTTATGTGTCGACTAGTCTTCTAGGTCACCTTCGGTAGTCACCATGACGAGCAGCAAAGCAGATGAGCGGTCAGGATCCGATACTCCGTCTAGTCTTGCTGCGAACCAATCAAGTGCGAGCGTTCCAAAAGGATTGTCGTACTTTACGGTCAACGAGAGAACGCCGCCTTCGAGCCCTGCAAGGGACGGGAAGACGAGTACCGGAAAAAACGGCGAGGGGGGTAACGGTCACCGGAGAGGCTGGGGGTCGATCAAGCCGTACGTGCTGTCAGTGTCGCTTCTGGCATCCATATCGTCGGGTCTTCTTGGATATGGTACGCGATATAGCAAGAGCATTTTTAACGAATCCAATAGGTCGTGCTTCTGGCATCCATATCGTCGGCTCGTCTCGCACATGGTACGCGATATAGCAAGAGTATCGCTAATTATTAAATCGGTGTTCGTGGCATCCATATTGTTGGCTCTTCTTGGATATGGAACGCGATATAACACGAGAATCCTGTATAATGTATCTGGTCGTGCTTCTGCGTCGTGACATCTCATCCATCTCAATATGGAGTATGCCAATGCCCTTCGTACCATGTATGCATAATTGTAATTTCCCGAGTATCCTGCCGTGACCCACTTTCGTGTCTCCACGATTCTGTCGTGAGCTCCCTCTCCTGACGTGGCATGCAGACATTGGCGTCACCAGCGGAGCGCTCATTTTTGTCGCAGAAGATTTCGATCTCTCCCACGTGCAGCAGGAGATTTTTGTTGGTATCCTCAATATAGTCTCCCTCGTTGGCGCGCTATCAGCCGGTAGACTTGCGGATTTCGCGGGCCGTAGATTCGCAATGGGAGCAGCCGCCTCAATTTTTATCGCCGGAGCTCTGTGCATGGCGTTAGCACCGACCTACACTATCCTCGTTACAGGACGTGTCGTTACAGGTGTTGGTGTCGGATTCGGTCTTGCTCTACCTCCTCTTTTCATCTCAGAGATTTCTCCGCCCGGTCAGCGTGGCGGGCTGGTTTCATTCGGCGAGCTTTTTATCAACATTGGCATTGTAGTCGGCTTCTTAACCTCTTTTCTTCTTTCCGGGCTGCCCGTGGATTCAGCCTGGAGGTGGATGTTGGGGCTGGGAGCCGTTCCGGGCTTTATCCTCGCAGTAGGAGTGGCTTTTCTGCCCGAATCCCCGCGCTGGCTGATCATGCACGGGCAGGTGAAAAAAGCCAAGGATATCCTGCTCACCATATCCGACAGCAAACAAGAGGCCCATGAACGAATGTTAGAAATCCTAGAAGCAGCAGGTCTGAAGGAAGAAGTTATCAGCAAAGGCCCAGCAGCAGGCTCGGAATTTTCCCCTGCCCGGGGCAGAAGCAATTCCCGCGAGCGGCTGGAAGGCAGCGGGGGCGAGGGTGGGGAAGGGACAGTGTATGTGGACGAAGAGGAGCAGGAGATTCACGTGATACGGGCAATGGAGGGAGCAGGCGGGCAGGGGGTTTGGAAGGAGCTACTCTGGCCAACACCGGCAGTGGGGAGAATGCTGGTGGTGTGCGTGGGAACGAATTTTCTGCAGCAGGCTGTGGGGATTGACGCGGCTGTGTATTACTCGCCTGTGGTTCTGCGGGATGCGGGGGTGACGTCGACACGGGCGCTGCTGGGGGCGACGCTGCTGATGGGGGTGATCAAGGTGTCGTTTGTTGGCATCGCCACGTGCATGCTGGACCACTTTGGCCGGAGGCCGCTGCTGCTCGCATCCACAGCAGGTGAGCGTGCTTGCTTGGCTGCTGCGAGTGTATGCTGGTACCTCTGCTGTGTATGTGCAAAGGATCTGGTGCCCTCCCAGTGCAAGCCCTGACCTTCGCACCCTCCTGAACGCTTTTGAACCACCTCAAACCGCTCCCAACTCCCAAATACCCCCTCCATTCACGCCCTCCCCTTCCCTCCAGGCATGACGATTGCGCTCCTAACTCAAGCCCTGGCCTTCCTCAAGCTGCCAACCGCTGTTGACGTAGACGTCTCAACCACCGTCACAGCCACCACAGGAGTCCCAGCAGCTGCCATCGTTGCTTTCACGGGCCTCTGCTTCTATGTCGCCTTTTTCTCCATCGGCATTGGCCCCATTAACTGGCTTTACACCTCCGAGATCTTCCCCCTGAGGCTGCGGGCACAGGCAACTGGTATCGGCACGGCTGTGAACAGGATCGCGTCTGGAGTGGTAGTGATGACGTTTCTGAGTTTGGCGGATGCGACGGGGAGTCCTGCGGGTCCGTTTTTCATGTTTGCTGGGATGGGAGTGGTTGCGTTTGTGTTCTTTTATTTCCTCGCGCCGGAGACGAGAGGGAAGAGCTTGGAGCAGATAGTGAGGATGTTTGAAAAGGGGACGTACGCGTGGGTGAAGGAGGCTCCGGAGGAGATTCCGAGCGTGGGGTTGGCGGTGTATGATGGGAATAAGATGCAGCAAGGGTGGGGGGAGACGGATTCGAGCCCCAGCAGGACACCCCGGGATGTGTGGTAGCAGGACTAAATGGAGACTACATGGCAATCTAACCGGTTGGGTTATGCTTTATTCCGTCGAGTGTTTGTGGTTTACAACGGGAACAAGATGCAGCAATGTGTTGAATGGCAGATCTAGCCCTTGCAGAACAGTGCGGGATGTGTGGTGGTGGCGGCGGGTCATGACTAACATCGTAGTTTATGGTGTATAGGATTTGTCATTTCAAGCGACAGGATTTCACGCTCCAAGTTTTAGCCCAAGCAGGATATGGAGGAGGGAGATGCTGCCAGTCTCTCACCAGTGACAATGGGATTGCTGAGCGCCGCATTGGCATGGTCATGGACGTCGCTCGTACGTCCATGATCCATGCGGCTGCTCCCCATTTTCTGTGGCCGTTCGCGGTTCAGTACGCTGCGCATCAGATCAACCTTCAGCCTCGTGTCTCCTTTCCGGAGACCACACCTACTCTGCGGTGGATGGGGAAGGTTGGCGATGCGTCCGCGTTCCGTGTCTGGGGATCTCGAGCTTTTGTCCGCGATACTACAGCGGACAAGCTGTCCTCCCGTGCCGTTCCCTGTGTCTTCCTTGGCTTCCCTCCTGACGCACCCGGGTGGCAGTTCTACCACCCCACCTCGCGTCGTGTTCTGTCCTCTCAGGACGTCACGTTCGACGAGTCGGTGTCGTACTACCGTCTCTTTCCCTACCGCACTGCCTCTCCCCCCCCACCGCCGCTCTTCCTGGCACCAGGTACTCCCCTGGTACACCCTCCCCCCCCCCAGGGTCCTGCCCCCTCAGGTGTGTCCCAGGTAGACCCTGCCGAGCCGGTCGAGGTAGCTGTCGACTCAGGTGCTGCTAGGGGTGCTGACCCTGCGGGTGCGGGGACTGGGGGTGCTGAGTCTGGGGGTGCTGAGACTGGGCGTGCTGAGCCTGGGGGTGTGGCGCCTGAGGGTACTGTGTCTGGAGGTGCTGAGCCTGCGCGTGCTGGGTCTGGAGGTGCTCTAGGTGTCCCGTCGCGGCGGGAGCCCCTCTCTCCACAGCGGCTTCGTGAGTGGTACTCTCGGCGCTGTCGGGTTGCTGCTGGAGGTGCTACTGGTGTAGGAGCTGCTGGAGGTGCTGGCGCTACTGGAGGTGGTGCTGGTGCTGGAGCTGCTGGAGGTGCTGGTGCTGCTGGAGGTGGTGCTGGTGCTGGAGCTGCTGGAGGTACTGCTGGTGCAGGAGGTTCTACTGGAGCTACTGGAGGTGCTGGCACTGCTGGAGGTGGTGCTGGTGCTGGAGCTGCTGGAGGTGCTGCTGGTGCTGGAGCTGCTGGAGGCGCTGGTGCTGCTGGAGGTGGTGCTGGTGCTGGAGCTGCTGGAGGTGCTGCTGGTGCTGGAGGTACTCCTGGAGCTACTGGAGGTGCTGGCGCTGCTGGAGGTGGTGCTGGTGCTGGAGCTGCTGGAGGTGCTGCTGGTGCTGGAGCTGCTGGAGGTGCTGCTGGGATTGGAGACCCTGCGGCTGAGGGTACCGGTTCTGTCTCTGTTGTTTCTGGAGGCGCTGTGCGGCCGCGGCCGTACTACGTTCCGCTTCTTCAGCAGGTTCTTGGCTCCCCGCCTTCTCCTGGTCCTCCTCCTCCTTCCCTGAGTCCACCGCCTGTCCCGTCTCAGTCGCAGTTACCGCCGGCCTCTCCGCTGCCTGGTCCTTCTCCTTACTCTGGACCGACTAGAGGTCTTACGGAGCGTCGTGAGCATGAGTCGCGTCCTGTGTCGCCTGTGTCTCGTTCTACGTCGCCTGTCCGTTCTGTTCGCGCTGGTCGTGTTTCGCGTCCGCGTCTTCCTCCTGTCCCAGGCACTCACTCTATGACACTGCGTCCTTCTACTGCTCCACAGCGTGTCCCTCTACCCTCTCCTCCTGCGTCCTCTCTTCCTGACGGTCCGGACCCGGAGTCTGACTCCCTTCGTGCTGCTAGTCCTACTGTCACGCGCTTTCTGGCCACTGCTATCACTGACCCCCTGTTTGAGTTCTCTGCTGCGTCTGCTCTTGTTGCTGAGCTTGTTGACTTTGCTGCAGCCTGTCGCCTAGACTACGCCGCTAGTCTTGTTGCTGAGTCTGCGTCTGTGTCTGTCTGTCCTCCGTCCGTCGGGGGTGAGTGTGCTCTTGGCACGGACGTCCTTGAGGACAGGCAGGAGGACCTTGAGTGCTTTGCCGCTGCTTCACCTCATCTCGTGTCCATGCTGCTTGCCCCTGAGGGAGACCCGGATGCACTAGACATCCCGACCCCGCGCTCTTACGCAGAGGCGATAGAGGGTCCCTACTCCTCTTAGTGGCAGGCAGCCATGGACGCAGAGATGGCTTCCTGGAAGTCCACAGGCACCTACGTAGACGAGGTTCCCCCACCTGGGGCGAACATCGTCAGTGGCATGTGGATCTTCAGGGTGAAGCGGCCGCCGGGTTCTCCGCCTGCCTTCAAGGCGCGTTACGTTGCACGTGGCTTCAGTCAGCGACAGGAAGTTGACTTCTTTCAGACCTTCTCTCCTACCCCGAAGATGACCACTCTTCGGGTACTGCTGCACGTTGCTGCTCAGCGTGACTACGAGCTCCACTCGCTTGACTTCAGCACAGCCTTCCTACAGGGCAGCCTGCACGAGGAGATCTGGCTGCGCCGCCCACCTGGCTTCACTGGGTCGTTTCCTCCTGGTACCCAGTGGAGCCTCCGGCGGCCAGTCTACGGTCTCCGCCAGGCGCCCCGTGAGTGGCACGACACGCTCAGGACGACTCTTGCTGCTCTTGGTTTTGCTCCTTCCACTGCTGACCCTTCTCTGTTTCTACGCACTGACGCTACTCTGCCGCCGTTCTACGTTCTTGTGTACGTAGACGACCTTGTCTTTGCTACTGCTGACACGGAGGCTCTCGCCCATTTGAAGTCCGAGCTGCAGAAGAGACACACGTGCACAGACTTGGGTGAGCTCACAAGCTATCTTGGCTTGCGGATCACCCGGGACAGAGCACAGCGCACCATTACATTGACTCAGTCACACATGGTGCAGCAGGTCCTTCAGCGCTTCGGCTTCACGTACTCCTCGCCACAGTCCACTCCTCTGCCTACCGGTCACTCGCTCTCAGCTCCACCTTCGGACGAGTCCGTAGAGCCGAGTGGCCCGTATCCAGAGCTTGTGGGCTGCCTCATGTACTTGATGACTTGCACACGACCTGACCTCGCATACCCTCTCAGCCTTCTGGCTCGCTACGTGGCTCCCGGCAGGCACCGAAAGGTGCACTGGGATGCTGCGAAGAGGGTGTTGCGATACTTGTGCAGTACATCGGGCATGGGGCTCGTGCTTGGAGGACGGGCTCGAGTTGTCCTCACTGGTCACGCTGACGCCTCCTGGGTTGACGACTTGGCTACGCAGCGGTCGTCACAGGGTTACACCTTCAGTCTTGGCTCCGGCTCTGTCTCTTGGCGGTCGACCCGCTCTTCTTCTGTTCTCAGCTCCAGTTGTGAGGCTGAGATCTACGCTGTAGCCATGGCTGCACAGGAGCTTCGCTGGCTTACTTACCTGCTGACCGACTTGGGAGAGGCGCCTCGTTCTCCTCCAGTTCTGTACGTCGACAACAAGGCCATGCTGGCCTTGTGTCAGGAGCACAGACTGGAGCACAGAACGAAGCACATTGCTCTGCGCTACTTCCTTGCTCGAGAGTTGCAGCAGCGTGGCCAGCTTCGTCTTGCTTACGTGGCCTCTCAGGCCAACACTGCTGATGTTTTCACCAAGGCACTTCAGCCTTGTGATCATCAGCGTTTCTGTACTGTGTTAGGTCTTGTACCTATTGTGCCTCACTTGTTGACTTCTTGACTCTGCTTGTACTGTACTCTATATACTTATACCTGCATGCTTACACTTGCTAGGTTGTGTTCACTGTATTGTTTGCTTTCCTTTATATAACTCTGCATGTGAACTGGCCTTATGGCCCTTTGCTTGTGCTCAGACTGTGTGGTGACTTTGTGATCCACCCTGAGCTTGCTTTGTCTTTCTTGACTGGTCTTGTGACCCCTTGTTCTCCCCCACTTTGCCTATGGGGGTGTGTCAAACTTATATCTACTATAGTCTGTTTAGGCTGTAGTGGGGTAGTCCTTAGAGGGTACAACACTTTTGTGTTTTCTACTTGTACCCTTCTGCTTTCTAGTTCTCTCATTCATTCCTATTTTTCTCACATTTTGCTGGTAATTGACGACTACTCGCGGTACACCACGGTCTTCCCCTTGCGCAGCAAGGGTGAGGTCGTTGATGTCTTGATCCCTTGGATCCGCACAGTCCGTCTCCAGCTCCGCGAGCGCTTCGGCCAGGACCTTCCTGTCCTGCGTCTGCACTCTGACAGAGGTGGTGAGTTCTCCTCCAACCTTTTGAGGGACTTTTGTCGTGGGGAGGGCATTCTCCAGTCGTTCACGCTTCCGGACTCCCCTCAGCAAAATGGGATTGCTGAGCGCCGCATTGGCTTAGTCATGGAGGTCGCTCGTACCTCCATGATCCATGCGGCTGCTCCCAATTTTCTGTGGCCATTTGCGGTCCAGTACGCTGCGCATCAGCTCAGCCTCTGGCCCCGTGTCTCCTTGCCGGAGACCTCGCCCACACTGCGTTGGACGGGGGAGGTTGGCGATGCGTCGGTGTTCCGGGTCTGGGGATCTCGTGCCTTTGTTCGCGATTTGTCCGCGGACAAGCTCTCCCCTCGTGCCATCCCCTGCGTCTTCCTTGGCTTTGTCCCTGACGCGCCTGGCTGGCAGTTCTACCACCCCACCTCGCACCGTGTCCTCCAGTCTCAGGACGTCACGTTCGACGACTCGGTTCCCTTCTACCGTCTCTTCCCCTACCGCTCTGCCCCTCCCCCGCCCCCGCCGCTCTTCCTTGCTCCCGGTCCTCCTCCGGTAGACCCCCTCCCGCCCCAGGGTCCTGCTCCCTCAGGTGTGTCCCAGCTAGACCCTCTCCCTGAACCTGCGCCTGTTCAAGTAGCTGTCGACTCAGGTGCTGCTCGAGGTGCTGCGTCTGGGGGTG